GGCACACCACTAGCCCAAGGTATAGGCATTTCTCATGTTCCAATGGCGATATTGAAGAAACCTGGACTATTGGTGTGCCTTGAGGCCTCAGATGGAAACCACTGCTTAATATTATGATCATGGACACATTTTTTTCACTGCATCTCACTGCTAATATTCTCTGTGTAGTTATCAACTGGCTAAACAAGCAGCTTAATGAAAATCAGTGTGGGGTTACCAGTTCCATCAGTGCTGCAGTATCAGCCAATCATCTGGTGAGTTAAATCCATATCTATACATACACATTTGTAAAGATAGTTCCTAGATATTAATAGCCATGGGGCAGTTTAGTATTGGGGACAGGGTTAGCAAGGTGGTCTCTGCACCTATGTCAAAGAAGGCATACGTTCTATCCAGCTATGTTAATAAAACTATTGAGCATTGCAGGATGCGCGACAACCCTTGGCTGAGCACCTTTTACAGGCTGTGTTATAAATAATTTGAAAACTAATTGCAAATTAAGACCACAATAGTTTTTTTGTGAAAAAAACCCCCAAAACTGCTGAATTTATTTTATACAGCTATATTGTCATACGATTTTGCTTTTCATTTCTTTTTGTGAGCAAGGGAAGAGAGCAATGGGAGAATAGTTTAGTTGTGGAAGGTGAGAAAAGAGCAGTATAAGATTAGAACACGTTGTCATTGTTAAAGTGTTGCTCCTACCAAAAAAAGAGAGGAATGGGGGAGCGGGTGGAGAAAGAAGCTTACTTTGTATCCTGTGCTGCACTGAGTTCTCCTTGTAGCCCCATACTTCTTTAGTGATGTCACTGCCCCTCATGGCAGAGGGAAGGAGGTCTTGGAAGACGCAGGGAGAGGACCCCAGCATGCTACGTGTGCTGATGACAGATGTCATATTTCCACAGAGTTCACATTAGCAAGATAAAACCTTTTTTGTTTCAGGCTGACTAATTATGCTGCTGGAGTAACACCAATGACAGCACAGGGCTTTATAAGTGTAGCATTTCAAACAAAAATTTTGCCCATCCAGTCTCAGAGCACCAGGATCCCTTTAAATCACTGAAGTTGTCACAGTACTTGGCGTAACCCTTAAAAAACTATACTGTACCATCTGAAGTTGATAAGATATGTGAAAATATTAAGTGAGTTAGTTGCTTGCCTCAGGAGCCCAGGACCTGTAGTGAAATACACTTATACTATTTTTATTTGTTCTGAGCTAGAGCTAATACTTATAAAATGCTGTTTCTGAAAACATATTTTTATTTTACATTCTCTTTTTCTATCTCTACAGCCTGAGAATAGATTAGCATTTCATGCCTCACGAGCAAATTACCTTCTTCCAGCTTCCTATCCAGTCAGACCCTACATTCCATCAGCTTCTTCATCCCACCAGTCCTCAACTGACATAAATTCGGGTCAACGGGTAAGGGATTATGTGTCAGACATTTTCAGTGATTAAGCATTTTCTTGCCAATACAAGTTGTAGTTTGTTTTGATTGCTTTCAATCCTATCTACAGGTTCAGTACAGCAATCCACTTTCAAAAGGGCATGTAGAATTACACCAAGGATCTTCTAGACAGAGTTCTAACCCAAATAAGGAGAAGTAAGTGTCTGCTTCCACGTGCACTCCTACAGCCTTCAACAATATGTTCAGGGCTTTTCTTGCATGTGATTAAAGGAACACTATAGGGCAGTGATGGCGAACCTGTGGCACGCTGTGCCCTCTCTGTGGCCACGCGGCCATAGGTTCACCATCAATGCAGAGTAGGCACCTGTCTGCCCAAAACGGCAGGCGCCTACTCTGCTTCCGTGTTGGGAGGCAGGGGGAGGGATATGTGAAGCAGCTCCCCTGTCCTCCTGCGAGCAATCGGTGTAGAGCGTTGCCGCGCGTTACCATGGCAATGATCCACACAGCATCGCGCGGGAGGACAGGGGAGCTGCTTCACATATCCCTCCACCTGCCTCCCGACACGGAAGCAGTACTTACCACCACCGGACCACCAGGGATGGCTGTGTACCCCCCTCCTTCATTAAAGGTAAGGAGGGGGGAGGGGGGAATACTGATTTAGCGCATATATATATATTATATAAACACCTTTACCCCCCCTCCCCAGCAACCCTCCCCCCACAACACACACACAGCACCCCACACACACACAGTCTGTGTGTGCGTGCGTTTATTCAGCAGTCTGTGTGTGCGCGCGCGTTTATTCAGCAGTCTGTCTGTATGTGTATTCATCAGTCTCTGTATTCAGCAGTCTTGTGTGTGTGTACTCAGAAGACTGTGTGTATCTATTCAGCAGTCTGTGTGTCTGTATTGCATTTGTTGGAGATACTAATAAATATAAGCTTAATTTTATCTATTTATAGCATTAATTAAAATTTGTATCATTGAACTCTCTGTTGTGTTCTTTTAAAACAAAAGTTGTTAATTAGTTTGGACAACTGTACGAGTTGTTTTTTCTAAACTTAAACCTCAGTATTCAGGTTTAATTGCCCTGTTGGCACTTTGAGTAAAAAAAAAAAAAGTTGGCATGTATTGTGGTTTGGGCACTCGGGCTCAAAAAGGTTCGCCATCACTACTATAGGGTAATTAGGGCCCCATCCCGCTCGGCTGAAGGAGTTAAAACTTGGCTTAATCCAGCGCCGGGCTCCCTCACCGCTGGTGTCCTCTCCACCCTCTGTGGACGTCAGCTCCCGAGTGGAGCCGAATGCGCGGCCGGAAACCAGGCGCATTCAAACCGCTCATAGGAAAGCATTTCCTATGGATGTTCAGCGTTCTCAATGCGATTTTCGCATTGAGAATTGCTGAAGCGGCCACTAGAGGCTGGATTAACCCTGCAATGTAAACAGCAGTTTCTCTGAAACTGCTATGTTTTCAGCTGCAGGGTTAAGACTAGGGGGACCTGGCACCCAGACCACTTCATTGAGCTGATGTGGTCTTAAGGACACATGACATGTCATGATTCCCTTTTATTCCAGAAGTTTGGTAAAACAGCTGCTTTAACCCCTTAAGGACCAATGTTTCGTATAATTTTTAAAATCTCTATTTACCTCAGTGGAAGGATTAATGAAGCCTGTATATTTTTGTAGCTAAACTTCAGTTTGATATTTCTTTCTTGTTTCAGTGGGGAGGTATTAGGTTTGGATCTCAAGTACCTGAAGAAGAGAGAATTTGGAAACTCTCTACAAGGACTTAACCAGAATGTAGCTTCAGGAAAATGTAAGGTGAACATGTTCAAAAGTGTTCTGGCAAAATTAGTCAAAGTGCTCCACTTTAGTTAGCGTATTCTGTATCAACAAGAATTTTCAACTTGAAAATGTAAGGGTTACTTTTTCTCTCCCTCTTTTCAAGAGACACAATGATTTTGCTTGTAGGATTTTATTTAAATTTCAGTTTGCGGTTCACTATGGTACACAAACAGAAGCATATATTATTTTTTTTAAATTTATTTTAAACTAACTAAATAGGTTTCTATTTAAAATTGGTTCTTTATAAGAAAACATTTGAAACACAGAATGTGACAGCAGATGAGAACAGTTTGGGCCATCTAATCTGCCCAACTTTCTAAATACTTTCATTAGTCCCTGGCCTTATCTTATACCTACAATAGCTTTATACCTATCCCATGCATGCTTAAACTCCCTCCTTGTGATAACCTCTACCACTTCAGCTGGAAGGCTATCCCATGCATCCACTACCCATTCTGCAAGGTAATATTTCCTGAAATTATGTTTAACCCCTTAAGGACACATGACATGTGTGACATGTCATGATTCCCTTTTATTCCAGAAGTTTGGTCCTTAAGGGGTTAAACCCATGTCCTTGTTGTGGTAGTTTTCCTTATTTTAAATAGTCTCCTTTTTTACAGTGTTGATTCCATTTAATGTTTTTATCATATCCCCCCGTCTCATCTTTGCTCCAAGCTATACAATAAGATGCATAGATCTGTGCACCGATATAATGGGTGTGTTTTTATTTTTACTAGTGCCCAATGCATATCTTTTTTATTGTATTGTAAACATGTACCTTTTGATTCAGTTTTCTGGTAAAAATAACAAATATTATATTATTAAGAATTATGCAATTGATCTTATATTTATGGCAGAAAATTTTGTAAATGTAATTGCTCTGTCTTTTATGTTTGATATTTAAAAGCTCCAATAATAAAGAAAAAAAAAAGTAAAATATAGTCTGAATGGTATATTAATATTGAACTGACCTTTAACGATTGTTTCTTCTCTTTCCAGCAGCACAAATTAGGACTGTGAATTCCCTTACTCACTCAGCATACTTCCCTAACCAAGCACCTTCCTCCTGATAGCCTTGATGACTTTAGCATATTGCCATTCTTGTGCAGACTTGCCAATCTACGCATTTGCCAGAAAAGGCAGTTTATATGGATTTATTTTGTGAGATGAAAAATGGACATTCCCTTTAAACAGATTCTGCCCAGTGTGCAGGAAAATTGAAAGGCCATGGACCTTCACATTGTATCAGTTATTATATTTATACAACTTGCACACATGTGTATTATTAGCATTGCTCAGCAAAAGGTTTCCTCTGCCTCGATCTTATGCTATTATGTTCTTTCAAAAAGTAATTTTTTATTTTTTTTTTATTAATTTGTCCATAGTGTAAAACTGCTGTAAAAGGCAGATCACATACGTTCCTGTTCCCATGCTTCTAAGGTTATAATTCTTATTTATTCCAAGAATTTGTTTTGATTTCTGCTACGCATCATGGGGAGTTTCACTTTTTAGTGTTCTTTATTACAAGGCCACTTACAAGCGCTGGTCATTTTATGATCAAATCAATTTAGTCTTTTTTTTCTTTTTTTTCTGACACTTGCAGTGATATTTTACAAGCATATCCAGTAGGCGGATTAAATGCTTCATCTG